TTCGATTCACATGACGTCGCGCCTCGAGATTGTCCAACGCATTAAACACTACTTTAAAGCCTCTAAACCATTCGACGTGAAATTGTACGTCCTTAATATTGGCGTGGTGCGCGACAATCTTGACGTTCGGGTTGAATACTGCCGCCGCCTCCTTTGCTACCTAACCGTGTGGTCAGTACGTCATTATACATACTATCCTGTCCGATCTATAGTTTGCTCGTACCAGGGCTTTGGATTTCCCGATATGTTCGTGTCGGAAGAGGAACTGTCGGTTCAGATTGCTCAAGTCGATTGTGTCGAGGTCGACGATGTGAATTTCGCCGAAGCCGGTGAGGGCGAGATTTTTTAACAGTTCACAGCCGATTCCGCCTGCGCCAACCATGAGAACTCGGGCCTGTGAATCTAGTGTTAGCGTGAATTTAGACTCCAAGACCGAATGTAGATCCATCTTGCAGTCTGATAAGTTTTAATATACAATAAAGTGGGCGCTAGTGTAGGCTACAGGTTGGAAACGTGGACGAGATGTTGTCGCGCAAGGTTGCTGAGGCTGTGGTGATAAATCGCAAACAGCCCATCTAACCTAGGATCGACCGTTCACGGTGCGCGCAGCGGTAGGAAAGGTGCAGGGCGCAAACGAAACGATGCCGTGCAGGATGCAGTTCGGCGACTTACCTCCTTGACATGCGCGTTCAGCGAGGGGCCAAGAGATCGGCGGTTGAAGGCATCTCGTGCCACTGCCATCTCGAACAGCTAGCTACCCAAGTCACTATTTGGGGAGATCTCTTCGTCGATGCATATGATGATGTAATTTGTAGTAGAGTGTAATATGCGTACTAGATGGGAAATAAGAAATACGGTTGAGAATTAGTAGGGGATAGGAAAGAGAGAGAGGAGAGAGCAAAAGAATAGAGTAGACGGAGTAAAAAAGGTAAAAGAAGCTTGGTGTGAAAGATGATGAGACGATAGAAAGCAAGTATTAAAGAAGGCGCCGCCAGCCTTGGAGAATGCTCGAACAGTAGTGGCTCAATTGGAGCCGGAGCAAGTGTGACGCTCCTACCTTTGCTAGTATGACCTCGCAACTCGGGGCAATCGGGGGACTAGGTACCTAGGTAATGTCTTAACCGCAAGCTTTTAAGGTTAGCAACCCCCAGTTGAATGCAGTTGGATGCAGGCAAGCATTTAGAAGCAGCCAAGGCAGGTCGCAAGCTTCTGTACAGGTACCATGCTACTACTACTACCGGGAATTCACGCTATTGGGCTGATGTATCATATTACCCACTAATTCCCAAACACGGTATGCAGGTTGCACATCATTTAGTGGTCTGCGCTTTCAACGTGGAGCATCCTCCTGAGATTGCCAAGCCTATACCTACATATACGTTAGGTCTATGTACATAGCTCAAAGCTAAAGAATTAAGTACAAGTACCTAACCGATAAGAATAGGCAGTGTATATATATTTACTTGAGCTGAAGCTATAGTGCCCAGTGATACGTTTTTAAAAAAAAAGAGATGGCTCTTTTATTTGTATGATATACAAATGATACATTAGATTGTTTTGGAGTTTCATTGAAACGGTTCCTCCGCATAAAGTCCTGGGTAAATATTTAGTCCTGGGTAAATATTTTGGTAAATATTTTTCAAGTCAGGTTCAAATTTCACAATCTACTCTACCTACCTAATGTTTGTAATTCCCCACTATCCCTAAGATTTTGGCTTAAGAACCAAACAATTGTATCATCTTCTACTAGTTACACATTTACTGATTACTGTTCAGACCTGGTCCTTTCCAGCTTGCTATAATGTCGGATGACGAGGCGGATCCAGAGCTTCTCGCTCTTCTAAGGCAACATTTCCAAGGGAAGCTAAACCTGGATGAAGAACCAGAGACTGGTGTCTTGGAGGGCGCCGAATATGTCTGCGACAACTCGATCGATGTAGCTTTGAACATGAGGGCGTCCAAAAATGCTGCAGCTTTGATTTACGAGCAGATGCAGCAAAAAGAGTTCTCGACCGCGAGTTGGTCCGAACATGAATTGCATCCCAAGACAAAAGATGAATCCACCGTTGCCTTCATTTTTACCATGGACCTGCTCAATTTCTCATTCTGGTCCCTACACCCGGAAGAGGAACGTTTTGCCATCTCATACCGAGACAAGACCTGGACCGGATACTGGAGTCTAGTAGCCTCATTGCAGAGAGCACTAGAAGAAGGTGGGTTTAATATATTATCAAACACTCAGCCGCTTCGTTATTCGGAATTTTCTTTGGTGTCAACATAGCGTGTCTTCCAAGATGAGCATACTCAATTAATCAATATAAAGATATCCCCATAACCGATCCGCATTACTGGCAGAACGAAGAGGAGTGCAACCTTGAGTCCCTCAGATACGTTTTCAGGTCGTGCACCGACGAAGAGATCCCCCTGCTGGAAGCAAGGCTTTCTTGCCTAAGGGAAGCAGGGCAAGTTCTATATGAAGTAGGTAATCCAACCAGAACTACAGCATGGAGATAACGCATCGCCAACGCGCTTCGGCCTCTTGTAGAAATACAGCTGCAGCTTTACGAAATGCATAGAAGCTGCCAATAAGTCGGCCGCGGGGTTGGTTAACCTGCTTGCGAAGGACTTCAACTGTTTCAGAGACGAATCTCGGTTTGAAGGGCGACGCAAACCCGTCCGGTTCCTCAAGCGCGCCCAGATCCTGGTGGCGGATATTTGGGCCTGCTTCAACGGTGAGGGCTACGGTGAGTTTAGGGACATCGACAAGATCACCATGTTTGCAGACTACCGTGTCCCGCAGATACTAGCTACGTTGGGTTGTATAGGATACAGTCCGCCTCTACAAGCAATGATAGCCAGGGGTGATATTCTAGAGAACGGAAGCGATTACGAAATACAGCTCAGGGGTAAGTATCAATATTCCTAGCCTCACTCCTACTTCCGGACATTGCTAAAAGAGTCAATTAGCATGTAGTATCTGGTGTGTGGAACTTCTCAAGCGCGAGATCAAACGTCAACACCCTGACGCGAAGATCAACGCTATCCTGATAGATTTTTTCCTGTACGACACCATGAAACTATTGGAGGCGCAAGGGAAAGAGACCATTCCACATCATCGAACGAGGAGTATTTGGTACTAAGCAGTTTGGATAAATGGATTGCGATTGTGGTAATCTGTACATAGGCAACTATAATACCTAGGTAGTCCTGGTTGGCTACTAGCTAAAAGATGATTGATATTACGCAGTATATCAAGCCCAAGCACTGATTATTTTCGGCGACTCTAGCCAAGCAAATATCAGAATTCCCCAACGCCATCGCGTAAACCATCGTAAATATCACAAAGACCGAGGTCTTCAATCTCCTCATCGCCCGTTCATCGTACACGCATCTCTAAGACCTAAAGTCCCATCGCCCTGGCTACCTACAGCTCAGACGGCGCCGACAGCGGTTGAGTTGAGAATCTCATCCATGTGCGCCTTCTCGATGCCCGGGGTGCCTTTAGACTCCTCCTTCTGCAGTACGGCGAGGACTTCCAGCGGCGGGTTTAGACCCAGCTTTTCAGCACGTTTCCACCGCTTCATGCGAGTAATCCCGACACAAGGCTGTTGGGGGTCATTAGAAACTGTAGAGCAACGTAAAAGGGGTGGATGAAACCACTTACTCCGTACTGGGAGCTGACATCCCAATATCGTAGCACTTTCTCTGCCTGCGTTAGACCCTCCTGGTGCACCCTCTTAGTAATACGCTCGCGTTCTAGCTGTCGCCAATACTGGTCGATTTGACGATCGGTAACCTTGGCAGCGCGCAGCTCTGATTCTGACTTCTCGGGTTGGATATGGGGCTGTTTGACCAAGGGCTCTTCGTCTTCGTCTTCGTCCTTGATTACTTCCTCCTCTTCCTCCTTGGGTTCCGGTTGAGCGGAAGAGACATGCTTTCCTAGCGGGCTCTGCTTTACTGGTTTAGAGACCAAGTCCTTGGCGGATTTAGGCACGGGCTTGGTAACCCGGTGATTGAAGGATAGGGTCGACTGCTTGCCAGTGGTGCGGTTGCCGCCGCTAGAACGTCTGGTATTGGTCATTTTGCGGTGATTATTGAGAATTAATACAGTAACTTTACTACGATGACTATAATTGATAATGGTGCTTTAACTATGATCACAGGATATAGAATCCAATGGATGTATTGAGATCTGTTTGATGTTTGTGCGACGTTGTAGATCTCAGATTGGCTCAATTGTGGAATGACGTGGGGGATTTTCAGGCAACGGCTTCCTTGACTGTCTGATCATTGGCGGGGCAACACGAAATCCGAGCGCTGTCACGTGGCACTAGGTAGGCTTCACTAATTCAATATTCCATAATTGCATAGATCCATAAATACTCCCCCTTATTCATAGCAAGACCCTTTAGATATGTTAGAATTAGAAATCTAGAATCCAGACTTGAGCTAAAGGTGATCATAACGATAGTACGATATTTACTACTGCTTTCTAGATATTATAAAACCAAGGGAAAGAGAGTAAATGCAAAGGCCATTCATTCCAAATGTCTTTCTTCGGCCCCTGAAGTCCCTCTTTTACTTAATCGGCACTATGCCAGCAGTAAGTGAGCAGTCTATGTGAGGTATTGGGCCTATGACTTTAGCTAGATTAGATATGAGTCTAGTGACTTTCTGATTATTCACTGAACTGTTTATAAAAAAGTAAAATTATTAGAATAGCCCTGATCCCACATCATCGTGAACCCAGTACAACATCTTCTTTCTCTCTGCTTCTTAACTAAGACTGGAAGTAACTAAGACTGGAAGTGGTGGATTTGTTTTTTTTTTTTGTATTGAATACGTCTGAAAGAAAGAAAACTAGAATGGAAAAGCTAGGTGCCTAATTTGGTGAACACTGAACTCCCTATGAAAACGTCACTATGTAAAAAGAACTGCCTACTCGTCGAGTCATGAATTATCTAACGTAGGACTTCCTTCTCTGAATGACATATTACTGTCTTATTAGTATGACGTATTGGTCTTTTCCAGTAAGCTAAATATCTCGTGCTGCCATGGCATTGCCCTGGGACCTGGTATCATCCCTTACTTCATCCCGCTTCTCTCATCCCAGGATTGTCTCAGAAGACATGCTTTCCATCTCCATTTTGCCATCTGCGTAGCTGATTTGCAACGACCTGTCGCCCTTCGGAGTGTGCTCGCTCACACTTCTAGCTTCGGCCATTGCCTTTGCTCGAGCTGCCGCGGCTTTCACTTCTGCATCCTGGTGCATCTCGATCTCTGAGAGGAGGATTTAGTCAGTCAGGCGTGCTATCGTCTCCCGTCCGCGTTAACTTACCAGCATCAAGTTCCATTTGGCAAACCTCTGCTGTCTTACTGACCATGGTTGCAAGCACGTCAATAGGTCGATTGTTCAGTTTTCCTGCCATAGCATGCGTGATCGGATCTAGATTAGGTAGCCAGGTCAGTAAATCATATATCTAGTCCTTCTCTGTAAGCTAGTACACACGGTCAACAATGAATTCATAGAGTCCCTTTGCCGAGGTGTCTTTTTGGTAGAGCTGATATAGCTGATCGAAGTCAGCAGGTGAGATGCGGTATCTGCCTGATATTGCTGAAATATGGTCTTTGGCGACGCTGATGAAATCTCGGATCCGCTGCCTAGTCGACATGATGGCTAAAGGAGGCCGAGGTATCAATGCGGTTTGTTGTAGGACAGTTAAATCATATCAGACTTCTTGGCATGGTTTGGGGCTGTATTGTGACTGCGAATTTCGCGCATGATCTATGTCGTTGTGATTCGCAACTGTGTATGGACTGCGCGGGTCTTCGTCTTCTTCTGAACAACGTTAGACGGTATCACAAATTTCAGTCGCCCGGTTGTACGTTGCCTGGCGGGTTACTACATTAACGTGGTGACTGGGGATTCACGCCGCCATCCACACAATGAGCCCTTAAATCCAAGGAGACTGGATTTATACCACTACTCAGTCTCCCACCTAAAGCCTCTGGATTGTTGGTGGTCTACCCGTCAGCTGTTACATTGACCAGGGCACATTTCCCTAAAGCAAGCTTGGTAGCTGTGAACTCGGGAATTTGTACCCAATAAGAGCGGCCAGAAATATTGATTGAAGATTGTTTATTTGGTGGTCATCTATTTTTAACAAAGCTACATCCTGTTGAGCAACAACAATGTGACATACCGTACAAAGAAGCTAGAGGCGGTTAGCATGAAATGTATTACTTCGATGTTTATTGTACCGATTCCGTTATTTTCCAAACTTTTGATTTACGAACTTGCTATTTTATTTTTCTAAAGAAGGAGGGTCTCTAGGCTTTACGTACCGGTGAACTAAAGACCATAACACCGCTGACCTAGCACTTCATCATGCAATGGTAATGAACCGACCAGAGAAGCTTATATATAGGTCTAAATTTATGTTGTTCCTTTAATAGCTATTCGCCGTGGGATCGTATTTCAGAGTATAAATCATGTAACTTCAACAACTCGAGTCAGTCTTCATAGAAACGATGAAATTAAATAAACCGACAAATGCTCCAAACCTCGAAAATGTTGGATAGATTGTGTCCAGATGTAGAGCTAGAAAGTATGGGAGTAGCTTCATTGATAGCCTGTAGCTATACATACTGTAAGTGTCCTTTGTTTAAGATGTCTCATCTAGAATCCCAATATTTTGACTAACGATCATTAATAATCAACTGAGATTTTCTTGGACGGTCCCTAAATATATAAATGTCAATAAGGTGTTCATACATTATAATGCCGCAAGAGGGAGAGCTCTCTTTGCTGGTTTAGCCCTTAAGCTACCGGCATCTTGAAAATCCTATTTTCTTTTCTACAAAGGCAAGTGTTTCAAATGGGATCAAGAGAACTTATTATTATGACGAAGAGGGACAAAAAACTATGGCGTGAGATGGCAGTTCATATGCCCTGCTTGGCCCTACATTTACTCAACCTATTCTATAAAAGCTATTAGATATCTGGGCTACTAAGACATAGGGTAAGGCATTTTCAACTACATCAGTGTTACCTAGTGGCCTAGTTCCCTATACTTTAACGGAGTTATATTGTCACCCCTTGCTGATGTCCTCTCCTACTACATAGGCGCCTAGCTACATCACCCTATATAGTAGCAGTTACCACTACATTAAGAACTTGTATTAAAGTATATCATAGAGTAACATGAACGAGATTATAGGTAAGGCTTCTAAGCTGGAGTTACTCTTCTCCAATCCTCAGCTGAGCCCCAGAGGGCTTTTCAGTAATTAGAGTTCCTGCGCCTCTTATTATTTCTACCATCCCACAAATGCGAACGAAGCCTTCTGTTTTGGTGGAGGCGGGTCAAGTGCCACTGTTGCACAAAGGAACATCACCGTGAACTTGGACTTTGTACAACGAATTTCATTTTGATTTCAGCTTCACCACCTCCAACATGGCGTATCTGGGGAACACGGAAAGAATCTGTGTGACCTCTGGATCCCAAATACTATATCTAATATCTAATAATAGGAATCTTTACTGCCATCGACAGGGTAAGATCCCAGGATCATCCAAGCAAGGCAGGTTTACTTTAGGACTAAAGCCCAGAAAATGCCTTGCCAATTACGTGTGTGGCTCGAATTATAGGTACTATATCATCTTGATGCCTTATTATAAAAGGGCAACTGAAGAACCGCGAAATTTCCAAACTTCCTGTTATTATATCTCTATCTTAACGGACAAAAGGTTAATAGGTTCCACCTGTTCCCTGCTAGAATTTCGATTATTCTAACCGATTCATCTGGTTATCAATACTGAATACTTCATCTGCTACTTCTTATTCTAGCTAATGCTTTCATCACGTTTGGAAAGATGAAGTTCAGCCAGTTTACTAGAACGATGCCAATGTGCTTCTTGGCATATTTCGGATCTGTTCACTCAGTCCCTGTCGCCGACAATCCGGCTTGCGATGCCTATCGTACCACTACAGAGCTTGACGGAGATGGCAGCCCCCATGATACATTCCGTCACCAGCAGCTCACTGTACGTCGGTTCTTTTCCTATTATCCCTGAAGCCATTACGAAAGGCACCTACCCCTGAATTTGCCGGTTCCAACCCCTTGGGCGTAAAACTTTAAGCAATTAACTTGCCTAACAAATTCAGTTGACATATACATAGGAATTATAACATTCATCATGAAATAACGGCTAATTAATGCTTGCCATAATAGTACTCAGTCCAAAAAGTGCGTCATGGCAATTGCGGCGCGGGAACTACCCGCAGCGACCCCATTGTTATAAACAGCCCCAAAACGAACGATAATGGTGGTGGCTTCTATTGCGTATTCGGCAGAAGTTGTCGGTCTAAGAATGATGAGTACTGGGAATAGCGACGAAAATAATAGAGGCTACTGTTAGATGTACTGGTTATATGTAACTAGGTAGGCATTAGTTACCATGCCGTAGAGATTTCCTTGCCTGTTGGTAATTTCTCATTTTCTATTGTCAATTCGAGGATAATTTATAGGAATACATGATAACTTGCTGGAGGCTAAAAAGCTTAACTGTATAGCTCTTATCCTCCTTTCAATAGGTTGCATAATCTTCTATGAAAGGAAGCATATTCTTCACTGTGTAATACACAAGCTAGGACCACTGTCGTTCTTAAACAAATCACAACTCAAACAAAAACCACACAATCTTAAAAAATAATGCCAAATCTGACCTCTATGTATGTACTGCACAAAAGCGCATATGTAACCTAAAATACAACGAAGCCCTCGATCCTGGTGTCCTATGACGGAAAACAGCAATTACAAGAGGGGGAATAAAACGTCAAAAACACTGTCATAACCCACGGCTACTCTGGGTGCAACGCCAAACATTCATTATCCTGTGACTATTCAACTGATCGCCTAGAACAGCGTGAACCCGGCTGTGAAGAACAGGGCGATCATCGCCGGGATGACGATGGTGGCAGCGGAGAGGGAGCCCTGAGGCGCCAAAGTAGGGGCGGCATTGCCGGATTCAGACGAGCCGGATCCGGTAGAGCTTGAGCCGGAGCTGCTGCTGGGGGTGTTGATTTCGTCACCCGAAAGTGGCTTGACAGCAAGGTTCGAAAGAGTCTTTCCATCGACGTCTGTAACCTTGTGGTTAACGGAGTAGTCGCTGATGTCAATAATCTTGCCGGATGGCTTGGGCGAAACACCGTCGTCAATGATCTTTTGAGCTCCAGGGGGAGGGGCGGGAAGGGTGAAGTTGTTGTTAAATCCCTTCTCCTTGATCAAGCTGGCCTTGCATTCAGGAGGCGTCACCTTCTTACTAACAGCCTTGACGCTCTGAATCTTGTTGAAGTCAATTTTGCTGTACTGATCGTGAAGAGTGTGGTAGTCAGACAAGAGTGTAACAGTTCCGTCGTCATTGCATTCAGCTAGACCGTAGTTGTTGTCCTCCTGGGCCCATTCGTAGACGACACCACCAGCGAAAGTACCCATCATCTGCGGTCCGTAGATAGTGCCAATCTCAGTGAAAACACGGGGAGAAGGCGTGTTGCAACCAAACTCGGAGTAGAAGATGGGAACAGAAGAATCCTTGAACAGAGAAACGAGGGTGTCGTATCCGGACTTCTGGAAAGAGCTTTCGCCACACCACGAGTAACTGTTCAGAGCGAACATATCGGCCCGGGACATGTCGTTCTCGTCACCATCTATAGCACACTGGAAGTAGTTCCAGGTGTCCTCAAGGACATCACGGACATCGGCAGCTGAGTAGCCAACGGGAATCGCGCGGTCGGCGTGGTTCTTGATGTAGTTCTTGAGGTCACGAGTGACAGCACGGACGTAAGGGGGCACGGTAGCACCAGTCTTGACGTTATCAATGACTTCGTTGCCGGAGAAGAACCCAAGGGTGTTGGGGTAAGACTTGAATGCCTCGACTATGGCGAAGGTCCTGTTAAGGTATGCGGCATAGTACGACTCCCAAGGCGCACCGCTGTTCAGAGACTCGCCTGCCAAAGGCGAGTTCACATCAATGATCATGTACATACCCGCCTGTCGCCAACGGTCAGTCTAGAGTCGCATGTCACTTAATATACTGAAACTTACAGCATTGAAAACACTGGCACATTCGTCGTGGTTTAGATTGGGGTCCAAGTTGTACACTCGAATCGCGTTGACACCCAGAGCCTGCATTAGAGCGGCGTCTCGCTTGCAGATGTCACCGTTAGAGAGAGGATCCTTCCCATGGCTTGGGTCGTAACCAGCACTTCCGCCGATCTGATAAGCCATCCCCACAATCTGAAAAGCGTTGCCACTCTTGGAGTTGACGAACTGCTGACCCTGAACCTCGAGAGGAGTGACAGCAGCCGCTAGGGTTGCGCCGCCTAGGGCGACGATCGCAGATTGAAGTAACATGATTAATTTTATTGTCCAAAGGTGTTTTCCAATGGGCGTAGTTGGCGCGAGGTTCGTTTCTCCAGGTAATAGAATCTCGAAAGGGTTTTTTTTTGTTATATAATTAGTATCTGCGGGATGTCGATTTCATAACCTTTATAGGCGCGAACAATCAACACAAGGTAGCTTTGTTAAATAGAGTTCTTGAGAGAGTGACGAGAATAGGCCTATAGCCAAGATAAAACGATTGTGGGTAGGAAGTCTAAGTGAATTAGTGAAAGAGGATGGTAGAAAGAGAAGTTGAGTTGAAGTAAGCGACAAGATGGAAAGAGTTACGAAGAGGCAAAAGAGGCTGGGTGCGAAGGAGGGAGAAGGTAGATAGATAATTGGCAGGTTCAGGTTTGCAGGTGCAACCAGGAGCGAATGAGCGAATGTTACATAGGTACACACACATAATGAGTGTACTTCCATTTACACGATGCCAATCAGTGACTTGCCCACCTGTGTCAACTCGATTTTATGAGGGGTTTTACTAGCTGACTAGGGCGTCTTGGGCTTTCTTGGGCTTTCTTGGTCTCTATGCAACAATCAACAGCTTGTCGGTCGGGGGGTTGTGACTGGTTGAGTGGGTAGAGATCCATCCAAACAAGGAAAGCTCCATAAAGTGGAGCGGGAGTATAACCCGACCAGGATTGGTTCATCTGACAGTTCCCAGTTCCCTGTTCCCAGTTCCCTACATAATTCAATTTCCTGGTTTAGTCTATGCATTCTTTTTCTATTCGCACTGTAATTCCTCACCTATTTAGAGTGCTTACCTACCGTGTTTAGCATAATGACACCATCGAACCGTACTGTATTATGCAACGAAATATGCCTGTTCAAGATTGACCCTCTACCAATTTCATAGTTTCACCGACCTTCTTCTAATGGGTCAAACGTTTTATTACACGTATTATCTATAGACTGTCATACACTATGTGCTGCTATGTATTCCCTCAGCACTGGCGTTTTGTAATGATGATATGCTGTTTGCTTATATCTTTATTATCAGATTTAATCTTGGGCAATTATGTCTATGAACTTGTTACTCCCCTGGGAACTTTTCTCATGGCTTGACGTTCTAGCCTACCCTCTATCGAAGTTTAATACGAGGCTAATACGATGCTGCTTCGTGATGGATTGGGCAAGTCTTTTGCTACATAGGCTATTATTTGCTTAGCTTCTTGTCAGATGTACGAGCGTCCTTCAGGCTATGGTAGCATCCTGAACTCGGTAAGTATTCTATTAACAGATGCCAAGCTTTCTTCCTACACTGATTCGAGGGATAGGGTTAGGCTATCGTGTTGCTTCTTCTGTCTCTTCTATCATCTACATTGTGTATTGATCCCTCGATGCCTTAGTTTCGGAATGTTCTACAACGACGTCACGGCTGTTGTACAAGTGTAGAGTTGAGGAAATGATGAAACGATGAAACATGGACCGTTTTCTGTGCGCGTGGGTACTAGTGAAAATCACAATTCGAACACTTAAGATTCCCCTGAAGATCCATTCACGTTGCGAGAAGACAAGAGAAAAATTCCGGGGCGTAATGGTGCTTTTTAAGGATACCCCGGTCTCAGGGGCTGGTTAATAGTTGCCGTTTTCCTGTGGTGTAACAATAAGGTTGAATAGAGCTTAGCTTCGAGACGGCGCCAAATGACAGATGGGATGAGGTCTAATGCAAAACCCCAACTGCAACTGCAAGCACCAGCCGCATTCACCAGCCACAAAACTCTACAACACAACACCAGCCTCAAATCTTTTTTTCGGTCGGACCCTAAAGTTAAGGTAACAACCTAAGCCTGAGCCCTTGAAATTCTGCCGGTTTCACTGCTTCTGCCTTCGGACTGCGCCGGCCGATTTCTGCAGTGCGACTTCAAGGAATAAAAAAAAAGTGGCGGTCCATCATCAATTGACCGAACATTAGGTACCTTCGCTAGCTGGCCCGAGCAGCTTCACATGTACTGTCGAACGGTGTCATCTCTGCGTAGATTCAGTGCATTTAACAATCCAATCCTCTTTTCCCCCGCCTCTCGTTTCTTCGTATCGTCGGTAGCCCAATTCGACATCTACAATCCCCGCAGCGCAGATAAGATGGCTTCCAGTACGTGTTTCTATTTCTCTCCTCGCTCGTCGGGGTCGCAGTCGTCCCGGGATCCCACTTGAACGATTTCGAACCGAACCCAGGCAAAAAGCCTCGCTAACTAAATCCCTTTCGCTCCCGCAACAGCGCTGCCTCAAGACCGCCGCCCCGTCGTGATCTCTGGCCCCTCGGGCGTAGGCAAGGGCACACTCTTCAAGCGCCTGTTCGACGCGCACAAGGACTGTTTCGCTCTATCTGTGTCGCATACGACGCGCAAGCCGCGCGCTGGCGAGGCCCACGGTGTTGATTACTATTATGTGTCAGCCGAGGAATTCGAAGCCCTAGTCCAGGCCGATGGCTTTGTCGAGCACGCCAAGTTTGGCTCCAACCGCTACGGTACCTCTAAGAAAACCATCGCCGACCAGACCGCCAAGGGTCGTGTCGTCGTACTTGATATTGAGATGGAGGTGAGTTCCTCGAGCCTACAGATCATCATCAAAAAGGATATCGCTAAATAGAGATAAAAACAGGGTGTCAAGCAGATTAAGAAGAGCGGCATAGAGGCACGTTATGTCTTCATTAAGCCGCCTAGCTTCGAGGAGCTCGAAAGGCGCCTGCGAGGTCGAGGTACCGAGGACGAGGACTCTATCGTCAAGAGGCTAAATCAGGCCAAGCTCGAGCTCGAATACGCCGATATACCTGGTGTTCACGACATTATCATTATTAATGACGACGTCGAGAAGGCATTCAAGGAGTTAGAAGACTTCATCTACAAGCCATTAGCATAGATCGCGAAGTTGGAAATAATGTTGGTTGCACATTAGAATCGAATGGTAAATACGACCATAATCCCGGGGAATATAAACCAACCAACAGGATAGGACGGGGCCCCGATAAATCACAAATTCAAAGCAAAAGTGTTCAGGGCATAAGTCTCGTATTTATTCCATCAGGTATCAGAGCGGGCTCTATTAGAGTACAGTAGAGGCTTGACCACGGATTAATCTTAGCAGCTTTAGAGAAGATGAACAGAGCTTTGGGGGAATACTAAAAAGGAAATAATAAGAACGTCGCGTCGCCAGACTGTAGATGGAAATACTGCTTGCTTGGCCGACAAACACATAACAAGGTTCGAACAACCCAGACAGGTCAACATATCTGACCTTGGCTTCAAATACGCCTCCTCACGTAACCACAAATGTTTTCCCACGCGGACGCAGTTTTGGGTATCCCATCCTAAGGAAACTTTTGGGGCCCTCGGGGTAATTATTGAAATGAGTCGCCCCCTCTCATGTTGCATCCTAGTCATCGGAGCCGCTCATTGTAATAGTCGTAAAGGGTAATTAAAGATCTTTCGCAAGGATGGGAAAGCCTGAATCCGAGGAACGCCTCGTAGAAAGCATACAAAGAAAATCAGATGACGACTTAGTAACCGTTCATAGTCATCCGTTGAGAGCTCCTGCTCATTTCGCGGTCTGCGGCAGGGCTGATCGGTCTGCTGCCGTGGCCTTGTGCGCTGCTCTCCTTGAGCGCCAACAATTGCTTAGCACGGAAGGTCTCGTAGTGAATCTGCGAAGTAGTCTCGATGAGATCCTGTAAATGGGTTCGGAGTAGGAAGTTCCTCAGGTAGACGAATTCGCAGTGGTTCTCATCTTCAACATTGATCACACCCCATCGGTTTTGACGTCCACGAACTTGCTTGCCGTTGACAATGATCGACTTCTCGGAACCGACAACAGCAAAGGGAATAAGGCCCTGCATGATTCGTTAGCATAGGGAAGGCCTGGTGCACATGACGTGTAAAATACCTTGATCTGAGTGTTAATCGAGCGCTCCTCCTCATCGAGCTCATCGTTGTCGTAAGGGTACATCTTGAGGTTGTGGAAAGCAAACTCCTCCTTGATTCGCTCTTTGAACTCTTGTCTCTCTTCTAGGGTCAGAGTGTCGGCCTTGGCGATAACCGGCACGACGTTAACAACATCGGAAAGCTTCTTCAATACTACGATATCGATTGGCTTTAGAGAATGTCCCGAGGGCTGGATGAAGAACAAGCAGCAGTGGATACGGGTATCCGGAATGTAACGCTCTCGCTGTGCTGTGAGCTCCTTTCGTAGGTACGCGGAGTGCTGATCCTTGATGTACTTGACGATGGGGTCCCAGCAGCGGTCGTTGTTGACCAGGTCACCATAGCCCGGGGTGTCGACAATGTTGAGCTTTAGGCGAACGCCATTCTCCTCGATAACGTGCGATACGGGGTGGATCTCGGTGGTGGAGCGAATCTGCTCATCAGGTACCATTCTACCTTTCGAGTCGATAAGGTGGGATGCAAAGATGGTATTGATCAGAGTCGACTTTCCCAAGCCAGTTTGGCCTATTGCATGACACGAGACACGTCAGTTACACGAACTAGGGCAACGTGCCGCAGGGGGTTAAACGGTAGCTATCAGATAGCTGGAACTTGAAAGGGGATATTATAGCTTACCAACGCAAATGACATTGAACTGGAAACCTCTCTTCAAGAGCTTGCGCTCGATCTGAGAGGTAATGCTGTCGAAACCGACATGGCTGTTAGGGTAGATGGTTTGCGATGCCATTGCTCCTGACTTGATGGATCAATGAATAGATAAAATGTCGACTCCTATTCCAAGAAATAGCCTAGTGGCAATTTGAGAAACAAACGAATGACGAGGAGTGGTGACGTGAGCTCTGATGCGAGACAGAGTTGAAGTTGATGGTTGATGGGGAAAAGAAGGTTGAGGTTTGTTGGCGTTTGGGATTTTTTTCGACGTGAAGGGGATGGATACTCTCTAGATTGCTCCCTGCGATTTCCTTGCTAAACAATAATTTCCGCTAAGAAGGTGCAAGTTGGGCATGGGCTAGGGACCACAAGAAAGGGGGAAGGGGGCTGGCAAGTATTGATAGGCCAATGAACATCCGTGCGTAGAGGCATTAGTGGATCGGAGCTGGGGTTGAAAGTCGTACGTGCCTGCATTGTTTGGTGCCGGCTGATGGGCAGATGCCCGGAACTCTCGACCAATCAATCTCCATTTTTGCGCTAGAAACTTTTTAGACGACGGCAAGCTCTTTCTATCAATAGCTGTACATACTATACTTTTCATAGGCGTGCGCAATAATTGCCATTCTTTTTTTTCTTCTTTTTTGCGCACGGCAATTCTCCTGCGGAGGAACCAAGAAAGAAGGACCATTTATTACTACGACGCTCCGAAAGGCAACGGTTAATCCGCCTGTTAAAGTCATCGATCATGGCCGCCCTCCAGCAGCTACGAATAGCCTCATTCTTCCCCTCCCTCTTCCCGAGGATAGCATCGACAAGCTTCCAGTCCTCTTTCCGATCAACGGCTCTATATACACAATATGCGCAGGAGTCGAGACTACCGTCAGTGACCGAGCTTGCTATCGCCATCCCCGCTGCCATCTCAAATATACCGTCTCTGCTGGGTGACATATGGGAAGGTATACTTCGAGCAGTGCCTAAGAAAAAGACATCACACATGAAGAAGAGGCATCGGCAGATGGCAGGAAAGGCTCTGAAGGATGTCACATCATTAAACAAGTGCCCAGCCTGCGGAGGAGTAAAAAAGATGCATACTTTATGCTCCGATTGCATGGGCCGTTAGTTATCTCCCTCCACGGTTTTGGCAATATACTAATTAGTGTATGGCTAGGTCTCGGCGGCATGCTTGAACGGGATTTCAAGCAAAAGGCATAATACAGATCAGGCATGAAACTAGAACTCATGCGTATCACTGGCGTTCTGGTATAAGGGTAAAGGATTCTACAATAAATACCTAGGCACCTATTGATTGTGAAAGACGTGTACAATGAAACCACGATTCTACGAAGTTACGTCTTACCTGTCTATTAAGTGCATGTCTGTAATTAGTAGCGCTACCGCTACCGGACTTAGGTTCACTTTTGCTATGGTTACGAAGTCAAATGTTAAGTGAAGCTGCTGTAAATTCAGGTCTATACAATCATGTATCAGGATAGAATATGTACCTACCAGGTACATGTCTTAAATACATACATGTATGTATCTAGCCTACACGTATACACAGTACCTAATCGACCTTATGTACTCTGTGCTGGACTTGATGAAACAGACAAGGCAGGAAAGAAGGAACGAAGGGAGGGATGTGTGATGTAATAATATTTGAGATTTGAAACGTAGTTTAGGTTAAGTACTTATCAGAAAGAAGAAGCCTCTGCCAAAGTCTCCAATTTTTAGTTAACCCCACCATAGGGTAGCTAAGACAACTTGCAGATGCCGTCTGCAGCAATTAATATTCCTAACATCATCAACCCCACCACACTTTCTACCTAGCAGCTTCGCGACAAGTCCACATGGATCGATAGCTACCTAACCTACACAATGGTATGTATAGAAAATAGAAAATGACGCCGTGTGCCATAATATTAGCTTGCTAATGCATTTATAGTCGAAGCAATACCTGACAACACATACTATCGACAATGGTGAGCATTGCTCTTTTTTGAAACCTAAACCTAAATCAACCTCGGACACGAAGCTTTGAGCTCTTAAGCTTCAGCTAAACTTATACTAATATCTACTAGCACACATAACCGACATCTTCTCTCTTGCTGCCACGCCCACAGCACTCCTCTCCGTCAGCGGTTCTTCAACTATACATATACATGCCACTTCACAACCCTCCATCCCTCTTGTCCAGTCTTTGGCCGGCGCGCACAAACTCGGCTGCCACCATATCGCCGTCTCCCGTAATGGCAAGGTGGCAGCATCAGCTGGTTTTGGTGGAGAAGTGAAAATATGGAAGTTGGCCGAATCAGATACAGCCGAATGGCAACCCTTTGGAGAGCTAGATCCTGCGAAAGGCTCAGGAAAGAGTGCTGGAGAGGTGTGGGCCATTGCGCTTAGTGAAGACGGCCAGTACCTGGCTTCTACTACCTACGATGGACGAGTCAATGTATGGGACCTTCTTGGAGACAGGTCCGAGAAACTGCGCGAGTACGAAACTGGCAATCCAGGCTCTGGCTCTTTTGGGCTTTGTGTAGATCTGAGTCGCGATGGGAAATACACAGCAAGCGGTCACCAAAGTGGCGCTGTCTACGTATTTAACAACGACACGGGCCGACTACAATACTCACTTCCAGGTAAGTTTTGCTTCTCAACCATCCCTGTGCACATCTTTCGATATCTGTTTTTGGTGGACTAATTGGTGGATAGGTCTGGTCAAACCAATCAGAACAGTAGCCTTCTCGCCAGCTAGCACACGTCTAGCTGCTGCCGGTGACGCAGGTATCATCGCCATTTATGATACAAAGCATGGCGAGCATGTAGGTAACCTGAAGGGTCATACGGCTTGGATCACCTCTATCGACTGGAATGACACGGGCGAGTACTTACTCAGTGGTGCTTTCGACGGCAAAGTAAAGGTTTGGTCTATCGACAAAGGCGCCTGTGTCGCAACTCACAGCGAGACAGACAAGGCGCTCTGGGCTGTCAAGTGGTTACCCAAGGCGGGACGAAACGAGATGTTTTGCACAGCTGGCGCAAATAGAAGCCTGACTTTCTATCGCGAAGCTACAGGCGCATAAACTGTTTCGCTGAGGATTTAACTTGATATTTGCCCCGCCGGCGTTTAGGGAAAGGAAAAGACAAAGGGGTCTCGGTATATGCGACAGGGCATTGCGATATATACGTGCTTAACCAAACCTAACTACATCATGTAACCAAATGAAGATCCAGACGAAGAACTGAATCCATGCTGCAGTAACCAGAGATATGTATGTTCTTCGCACTACGCACTTTAGCCTCCATAAGCCTACTTCCTACCGGTGAGTCTAGTTAAATCTATTATTCAGTTGCAGTTGAGAAATCAGTACTGCAAAGAAGAATTTAGGCATGAATACGTTTTCAAATAGAATATCAGATGTGACATAGCTAATATAACGGCATCAAACGTACACTAATTGAGATATATCGCATAGCATGCGTATAATAACTAGCCCCAATATTAGTAGTTCAGCTACCTAAGGTGCGGTGGTATCTTTTTGCCGATTTATTTATTATACTACAGGAAGTAGGGAGTGCTATATTTATAAACATGGAAGGAACCTTGTTCCCGAAGTCGGTATGGGGTGTGACTCAAAGTCAAATACCCTTGAACATCCCTTGAACATTCCCTCTCATCTACATAGAACATGGCGCGATTCCTCCCCTAAGCTTGCTTGTATATCTTGTGAATCACGATAAACTCGATTAAGATATAAAAAAGAGCCAAGGTCAAATAATTGCTACGATTTCTCTTTCAGTTTCCACAACTTTTAATAGTCCCTTAACAATAGCAATGGCCGACACCCCAATAACAACAGAAACGGCACTGTTTCCTACGGAACTGCCAAGTACATCACCCACTACCGTACAGGAGCTGGGCAAGCCAACGGTACTTCCGGAGGTAACCACAGGCACGTCCGAGCGATACATCCAAGGTCTTGCAAGCGCCGTATCGCGGGCCTCAGCCACAGACCCCCTGACAGTCATGTTCCAAGGGGAGAAACTACCTCCAGGCCAGACAACCAAGGATGTCGATCTCGCCGCTATGCAGCGCATGGTGTACGATTCAGCTATCACACGGCTCACGACCAAGTTAGCTGTGGGCGGGTTTGTAGTAGAAGCTGGTGGCTTTGCGGCAGTGGCGTGCTGGGAGCCGGCACGAGCGGGCGACCCGCACCGCATAGATGTGTCAACGGCAGCAGAGTCAGGGAAGAGACCGCTATTTAAGGCGTTTGTGGATGGAGTCACGGAGCTAATGCATGAGCATTTGTATCCTATTGCGGAGCGCGTTAGTGCTGGTCGATACTGGAAGTTGAGCCTTATGGCGAGGGATCCGGCGGTGGAGTATGTACCAGGTGCTGGTAAGTGATCTCTACTCGTATACCCCTTAACCCTTTAACCCCTTTTCTGGTTGATATGATATGATCTGGAGGCTGGGCCTGTTCTTTAGTCTTGTGTGGAGGCTATTTCTTGTGAAATAGCTACCATTTTCTCTGGTTGTTGCTGTTGCGTTAATTGCGACGCCTAGGTACTGACTGTAAAATATACGGAAGTAAGCCTATGCTGCTAGCTTTGTAATGTAACACATAAGGACTATGCCCGCAAGCTTCCCACATGTCACAGCCTCCCTATCATCCTCCTATTACAACATGGATGAGAACTAGCTGGATGCTAGGCGCTACTCAGTACTTCCCAGCCTATATCCTAGATCTTTCATTTTAGCCCAGCCGATAAGGTCCTGTTTTGTTCAAGTAAACCGCTAACTTTTATTATCCTAGTTCGGGCTGTGCTAGTCCCCTTTATGCAGCGGTTCACTTCAGACCAAAACGAAGGCGGCGCCATGCCTGTGTGGCTAGATGCTGGCAACGAACGGGCTCGTGATGTCTACGCCCACTTCGGCTTCCGTGAAGTGGGTGAGATAGTTACTGGAGGAGTTAAGACTTGGGGCATGATATACACGGGAAACATTAATATCGAGAAGATAGATACTAAGACCAGTTTCTAGTCTTGCTCAACCTTATTTTCATAGAGCTGTAGTCTATAGGCACACAGTCAACACAAGTACAAAATTTAGACCTTATCACGAGGTAGACCTAGAAGACATGGAAACAGCTTTGTTGATCCGCAAGGAACTCTAACTTGAACCACGGGAGAGCGCGACTACGTATATTAAAGGTATATTTTATCCAATTTGCCTCAGCTGGAATCCTAACAGATCCCTACAAAATAAACGTATGAATATGTTACTCATTATGATTTCCATAAGATAGCTAGGTTCGATACATGTATCATGGCAGTAGGGCAAAAGCACGCTAATATATTCTATTCATTATGGTTGAGCATTGTGATAGGGGGTAAAAATAATATTATCCTCGCTCTGCTCTTATTATGGTCCGTAATATTGAAAGATGTTTTTTGTCCTTAGATCTTGACTTAGCTACATAAGATATATTTTACAGCACAATGACCTGATATTATTTGGGGCCCTTGACGTATAAGTGAAGAGGTTGGCTTTCTGGGAGAATATTTGCAATTTATTCAGGCGCTAAGAATAATTTTACCCCTGAGTTTAGGTACCTAACAATTTCGATCCTTCTTGGGTTAACGTTCTTGATGTACTTGTAGAAAGCAGACTCCCAGACGAAAGTAATTAGCAAGGCCACCTTCCTTCCGGGTGTCTGAGATTATGCGCTACATATTATGTGTACCTGAAACTGAAGTACTACTTTGAGTGTCACTTAATGTGGGAAGTGACCTCGTTGCTACTACATGTATTAATGTTATGACAAAGCCAAACCACTGTAATGAGGGAGTCACGGACCTGTTACACCGGTACAATCTATTGGTGAACACTGTAAAGGCGCCGTAAAACGAGGCTAGAAGTGGCAATAGCAACTGTACCAACAATTAGTCTATGTACTCAGGATAGATACCTGATGTATGTAGCGCGTGTCTCCTAAGGAATAAATGCATGTACTGTAGCGTAGGACGGTAGGCGCGATCCCTTTCGTTGTTGCCCCGGTAGAGTTAGTCCATGCTACTGTCGTGTAATCAGTTGTCGCCTAACCATCTGCCAGATTTTTCTTTTCGCCGCCTTAGGCTTTTATTCACACCGCCTAAGATTGTATATTTAACGACGGCTAGGTCGCCCACTTTCTTCTTCTCTTTACACACTCTTTCTTTACAACTCAAACATTCTAAACTCCCATATACCCCTTTAACCTCTACTTATCTAATAAGATATAATCAACACAAGTCTTTGCATCATTTTTATTTACTACAACATGAAAAACGCGTTAAAGTCTAGTTAAGCCTTGGAGAGCCTTGATGTATTCGAGAATACCAAAACAACTGCCGCATATTATTTTAAGTACCAACACTGAACCTTTTGTATTCTACCATTACAAGGGACCCAAATCACCGCCCAGGTGGTGGGCTGTGCCGTCTACAATATACTCAAGCGTCGAGATATTATTTAGACGCGTCTAAATTATTAGTAAGTCCTTCAGATGCTTCTATCATCAGCCAGTGCACTTCCTTCAACATTTTCAAACTGTCAGTCATTAAGAATGATACATTTCATTTCATCTCTGTACCCTGGCGTTATTGATCCGCCTCTTCCGTTGCACTACCATATTTTGCCAATGCATTTTACATATTATCACCCGCTACTTCTCTCCTCTCAACCCGGGCTTCCCTGCTTTCTATTCACTTCTCCTTTGCAGTGATTAATGTTAATCACTTCAACTCATTGTTCCCAGAAGCAATTATTGTCCAATGACAATAAACCCTATTGCTATGATCTATCACTCCTATTCAACTTACTCTCTGAGTTGTCTTTGTTATTAATCTAGGCGCTGACGTTTATTGAAATAGTTACCATATCACACTTAGCGCAAACAGCTATAATAACTGCTTAACACAATTTATCCTAAAAGTCTAGTAAGTAACATAAGGTATTCCTTCTTTCATGGTACCCTTTTCCTCCTTTTGCTTCAATAATTGCTCGTTCAACTTTATCACTTGTAATATCAGATTAACCTTGTCACTCCAACAATCATACTAACAAGTGATTGCAGACAATGAATCCGAATAACAAGAATACGACTTATATGCAACTTTAATCATCCACTAGAGAAATAACTCCCCAACACGGTCGACATCCTCAAGTCTGCCGATTGGACTTCGAGGAGACAGTCTGCAATGGCCTATATTCTGGACGCATTACCAGGAAGTATATCCATGGTCTATAGTATGGTCCCTTTATTTATTGGCTATGAAAGACATGTGAACTAATACTGTATCTTATAGCCTCTCAAGGACGTGGTCATGCGTACAAGAAAGAAACATGATGGGTATTGCCTATCTCATCGGCCCTGATGAAGAGATCCCGTTCGAGGTAAGTTTTAGCCTGAGACCGCCAATTCCGTGGCTACCATCACGGTGACCCAATCTCCTGCTATTCCAGAAATCGTTATTAACTCACCTGATTAGTTTGACATCATTCGGCCACCGTTTACAGACTTCTACCCCATAAAGACAACTTCCCCCTAAAGAAGCCGACACATAACACACAACCCTTGACTTGAGCATGGCCCTTACAACCTTTTTACCTGGAGACCTTGACTTGGCAACAAGGAGAAAAGATCGAGGTCCGAGATCCTTGGGGACCTCTCTGACAACTCGACCCTACAGTCATAAGTTTGCTATGGCGCATCGACGGCAAATATACGAACATGTTCGGACAGATGGTCAAAATTTCTATTCTAGAGCAGCTTCAATTAGTGAGTTGGTCGTGCCTTGTTCTGGACCGCCAACGTCGCATGGTTTTGTGAGATCTTGTCACACCAAATCTGGTATAAGCTCAACCAGGTGCAATATTTAACGACACTAATACTGAGACCATCACAAAGAGGAGGAAGCGACATACTACAACTGCACACAACGCTGGGCTTCTGTGACAAGATGGAATCGATAAGCCGCCTAAGCTACCTAATTACCAATGAATCGCATAACGGCATTAACGGAGCTATTCAGCATTCTTACACAAGGAGGACTGTCAATTATTCTTGCCTCGATCGAATCTCTGTCGAGATCTTGACTCCCGGGCCACCTACACATACTATTTTGGAACGGAGCTCTAAAGGAAATAGAATCCCAGGATATTGGGTGGGCAGAGAAAGATGGAAACCTAAAGCCTAAACTTTTATCGCTGGTTGCGGAATCCTATTAAACGGCAACAGCGACAATTCTAGCACCGATCCGAGTGACGACCCGAGTGACGACCCGAGTGACGATTCGGGTGACAATACCTACAAACTACATATACCTTAGCCGAGCACTAAATTATGGACTGTTAACATCGAGCGGCAAGGATTAATGGACTTCCTCTCTCGTACATAAGCTAACGGGCATAATATCGATCAACGAAGACATTCCCATTCCCATCCCCAATCATGGTGGTTGGCATGGGATTTCGCACTCTCAAATCCATCGAGCTGTGAATGCCGAGCGCACTGCGGGATTCAATATTTTCTAGCCTCCCAACAATCAGGCCCTTGAAGGCTAGTAACGAGGCTCGCGCTGGATCCGCTTCGCCCTCCGTGGATCTCATAAGCCTCACATGTCACTCAAAGCTACACCTGTGGTGCGGCTACTGGCTTGTCTAACGCAGCCTTTAGAACATGCTAAGACTTTATCAAGACAAAGCTACGTATTGGAAATTTGGAAGAATGGATGTGTCTTAAAGTGCGAGCCAGCAAATGCAAATTCGGTGGTGCCAGTGTCTGGTGGTCTTAGGAAAGTACTACATAGTCTATGAGGAAGCTAACTTAAGGGTTTGCTTGAAGGTGGAATGGTCGTCTGGCTGGTTCAAGATAGTAAAAGATAGTTTCTTCAACTATGAAGAGTAACCCTTCAGATGACCAACTTACTGCCCCGGAAGGCCTTATGTCTATTAGGGAGCATTTAACTATAGACTAACACTAATAATTAACAAAGAAATTGGTTGTTCAAACCACTGGTCCTCGATTAGTGACTGTGAGCACTCAGAGGAAACTAGAAGATATAATAATCATGTTTCATATACCAAGCTAGGTAACTACGTGTAGCTTATGGCTTCTACGCGAGTATCGTAGTACCTATAGGAATTTCATATCTAAGTCTAACTCTAGGTATATACCGGAACACGCTCCACCTTCGGCATATAACATGCCACCGAAAGAAAGTGGCAACATCTATGTCCAGACAGCCAAAGCTCAACCCAAGGAAGATTCCACTAGCCCCAGCCATCAATTTATTCAAGACCTTCAATATGCATGCAGGCTTCCGAGCCTCAGCTTAATAGGGCATTCTATCCGAATCCCTTGGATGTCACGCCGTTATCCCATGTGGCTACACGAGACATATGGCGGCTTTGGTAGCGAGCGACGCCGTGTCATGATGTGCATACATTAGTTAGGTACCTCTTATATATATATATAGGTAGGTATATATATTATATATCCTCGACGCTCCGTAATCCGCATCCCTCCCCAGGGTCCATCCGGTCCACAAATGTGCCACGGAAACTACTTCCGTAGAAAAAAAGAAAGAAAAAAAAAGAAAAAAAGTAAATTCAAATACCAACGGTGCGCCTACGCACGTACATTCGCTTGATTGGCCAATTGCGGTATACATGTATACTATTCGCCATGTACGTTCCAGATGTAACGTTGATTACGTAGATATCAGATGTGAAAAACGCAATGCAGTAGCAGCAGGCAGCGGTTCTTGTGGCGCGGGCACAGGCCTTTCCGGAGATGCAAAATCTTGTGCGACCCCGGGTTTTCCCTCTCTCTTTCTCTATTTTTTTTTCAGGGGGTAGAGATGATAAGATGATAGGTTAGGAGTTTTATGATTCGGTTGAGATTCGGCTGCAGCAGATTAGAAATAAATAGCGAAACCGGATTGGTCCCCCCAGTTCTTGACTTGGCCGCAGGTAGGTACGTTCGATGTCGATGTCGATTTCCAGAAAATGGGCGTCCCCGGTCCGATTCATTTTCGGGGCCGATTCGGATGGGCGAACCGGTGCTCCCCGTTCGGTCCCCGCACTTTCCTTTTCCTCTGTTTCCACAAACGCTAACGTACCCAAGGAAAGGAAAAGGTGACCACCCCTCCTCCCCATTCTTCCCCCCCCCCCCCTTTCAGATTGAAGGAATGCGGAGTCTTGGCTGCCGAAGGCGAGATGACGGGTTCGATTCGTTTGTATGTATGTTTAATAGTGTATTTTTACCACCCCCCCGCTTCTCGATTCTCGACTAATCTTTCCCTTTTTCTCTCGATTTGGCCCCTAGTAGCCGTAGCCCTAGTTACCTATCTACCTAGGTACGGAATGACGGTTGAGGTTTTTTCACCGAACTGCCCGCCCGTGAAAAAAAAGGACATTCTTATTCTCCCGAGCTCGTACAAGATAACGGCCGCGCCACGAATCAGGGAGGGGTTAGCCGAGCAAGTTATATGCACGAGTGCGGGGGGGAGGGAGGGACTCTCGTAATGCACTTCACTGACGAGATGCGGGTGTGAAAGAAAAAGAAAAAGAAAAAAAAAAGAGGTCACGATTCCTTGCTAAGACCTTTTACATCATGGTCCAATGGTAACGACTCTACAGCACATTGGCGCCGCGTTCCTGACGTACGAGGCATACCTACAACATTCTTTTCACTGTGCGTCGTTTTCTAACTCCTCCCACTGGCACCTCTAGCTCGCTACCGCAGTAAATCAGAGATACATTGAGCTCTGATCGCTGGGGCTTCTGCAGCAATTGGTCTCAGTGCTGCACACGAGCTTCCTGCGAAAGGATTCGGTGTCGTGCTTCTCTGGGTCGCCTTGGTCACTTTCCTGCAGAACTTTGTGACCGCCGCCGTATTTGTCAAGCCCGAATACCGAATTTCAGAAACCAGAATCGTCGTCCTGGATCTCATTACCGCTGCACCCCACGAAATTGAGACGGCACTTGAATTCACCTCAGCTCTGCCGATTGATGTCTGGTTAACAACGCAGGTAGTTATCCCATCGTGCAGCCGACCACCCGATCTTGTCCGAGTGCGCGACTGCAGGTTTGAATCGCTGGTTCAGTCTGCATGGCTTGTTTAATGGCGCACGCATTACGAGTTTCGCCTCTTCAGTTATCCGACAGGAGGCTGCCTTTGACGTTGAACGTCAGCCCAGCTTGCTCCTATGGATATACCTAAAATGGCAATGTCTCAGGCTACAGAGCATTCATCATTCCACTAACTACAGCCATCGTTCGAGAAATACCCACTACAAGTCGATCACCTAGGGTTATTGTACCCCTTGGCGTACGGATGTAGACTGATACTGATAATCCAAGACGAAGCCCGAATTCATCGGGCGCACATAAACATGAAAAGCAAAGTTCAATCAGGCGTCAAAGGCAGTAAAAAGCGGATTATGATTGGAATATAAGCCATGATGATCCTATGGTGCGGCTATCCACTAATCAACATCCTACTTACCTAGGTATGCTTATTATTTGCGATTGTTAGGTGAATGAGTAAAACACGACGTAATGACTATAGCTAGTAGAATTAGGGCAGAGCTGGATATCTGCAACAATAACCGTCACAATTTACAACCAATCTGTACACGTATATAATTCAACAGATGACATTGATTGCCATCCACATATTATTGATTATATATCTAGTTCTGTGAACTATATGCCATATGGGCAAGACAACCGAATAAGCTGTAGGTAAGTGGTTTGAAAGGAGGGAAATGTCTAGGACTTGAAGACGCGATATTGAATGGCCAGTATGTGCCTCAATTGTACAGCTATTAGCTAGTTACTAATCCCTTAGGTAAGGTATTGCTCTCATTGTGATATGCTTAAGAGCATAATGCTCGGGTATCGTCAATCTTCATCGTAATTCCCGTTCTTCAGAGAACGTAGAGTGATCAACCACTCATAAATCCGAGCGGTACTGAAGAGCGACTAAATCGCTCCAATATGGGTACAAGCCTTGTAGGCAATATTCATAAGATGTGGACGAAGTAAGGTGTGAAAATTGAATGGGGGGACAAAGTTTGCCCCATACTTGTCATATCTTCCAATTGAGGTGACGTAGGCATATTGGAGGAGCAACTGATCCGTGGTCGTCACAGGTGCCCTTCGTTGCCAATTGAAACCATCATCGTGACAAGAAAACACCTCCCCACACCAATTTGATATATCTGCCTCTAGAAAGATGCGCATTGTCATTTATTGGGTCCACTGTTTTCAAGTGTAGCTTCAACAGCACCCATTCATATATAAGGTGCCCTAAACGACCAAAACGGCTATGATGCCACAAGGTGTCGAAAAGGGCGGGGTGGTAAATTGGTAGATTCGTTATCATTCGGAATAACGATCAAAGCTCGGAGTGGGTCGTGCTGTTCCGGAACGGATCTCATTTAATTGCCCCATTTCTGAGCAGTCGGTGACATCCAAGGATTGTAGCCGTGCACCGAGAAATTCTCATTGGAAAGAGGCGACGATACGTCAACCATCGAGCCTCGTAAAGCAGGATCCACCATATCTTGCTCTAGGCCCGGACTATGAAGATATGGACTCCATTCCGGAGGTAGACTGACCGGGTCTGGGAAACCGTGTATTTCCTGGAAATGGTCAAACCCGGAATAGTGCTGGCCTACATAGTAGAAGAGAATTAGCAATGCGATAAAGAATTAGCTACACGGGGGCAGTCTATTAAAGTTGGTGCTACTCAATTCGGCTGAGTAGTAGGTAACTTAGATGAGTGAGTGGAACAGCGGGAGATTTTCAACTAACCATTGGGGTAGAATTCTTGGCTGGTGATTAACTGGTAGGGCTGGGTGACAGCCTGGTTGTGAATAGCTAAACCGTGGTTCGGATTTGAATACTGTTGTTGTTGTTGGTGGTGCTGCTGAATATTGTGGTTCATATTCATATCCGGAATAGATGCGGCAGAGGAAATAGGGTCCTCGGAAGGAGGATCCTCTTCGGCCGCGGCCAACTGATGATTGTCTTCCGACGGCGGGCCATCAGGCGACCTTGGCGACAAAGTCTCATGTGTAATACGTTGATGGCGGGTCAAGAGATCTCGACGAGAATAGGCCGACCCACAATGACAGACATATGGTTTTTCCTTTGTGTCTGTAAGTGGGAAATTAGCATTCATTTTACATTTTCTAGAAGACCATATAGACCATATAGACCATATAGATACGATTTAAAGGGCACGATAAGGGGATAGAGAAGAAAAAAAAAAGGTGTGAGGTTTGGTGGAGCAAGGTTGTGCAGATCGAGGGACGTCGAATTTGGGGTTGGGGTAACCAACGGGTTCTAACGTGGCGCTCCAAGTGCTCAGACCTCTTGAAGCTTCGTCCGCAATGCGTACACAAACGCTGTTGTACACCTGAAGATCCATCTCGTCGTCGTCGACGAGCTTGGGACTGATCCATCTGTTTTTCAGCCATTGAAACTAAGAGGATGGAGATATTAAGTTAGGACGAAGAATGCGAAAGTTGGAGAAAGACAAGAAACCTTTCATCGTCAAAATTGTGGGGGCAAAAGGCTCACAAGGGGCTCCATATTCTCCTTCCAAGGGCTATCCAAGGCCTTATCCAAGGGGAAAGCTAGAATGGGAGGCGGGGGTGAGAAGACAGAAGGCGGGGGAAAGAGGGCCACGGGGTCAAGTACGAGAGCCACCCAAAGGTCCTTCTAAAAGAACCACCTGATTTTGGCTGCTGTAGGTAGTTAGTCAATTACCTAGGTACATGACATTACATGGCATTACATGACATATAGTTATGTACCTTCTATACTACACCTTCTTGTTTACCTACCTGTTCCCCACCATTGCACCTGCGCACACTGCATCTCGCAGCGCTCTAGTGCATCTCTTTCAGGGATTCCCGCAGTGGGACAGGGGTCATTTCGGAGGGGAAGGTTTGGGTGGTTTGTGGGGTAACCAACCCGCAACCAACCCGCAGCCAACCCAATCTCCCTAATCTCACCAATCTCTCGCTCCGGCAGTACCGTAGTAGGCCGTAGTTACCGACCCTCCTTTTGAGCCAAGGTACTTAAGCCAAGGTACTTAAGCCAAGGTACTTAAGCCAAGGTACTTCATTTATTATTCAAGGTTACTCCCTCGTGCTACACTCAGCCGCCCTCTCCCTTTAATCGCCAATGGGGAACGCCAATGGGAACACCTAGTGCCCGCATCGTCTTCGTCAACCTACTTTCTTGTTTCGACGATCCGAAGGTTTAGGCGAGCTCCATTAGCGAGTCTTGCCGGCACGTTTCATTTCTGCCCTCTATATTTTAAATCTATACTAAGTACTTTTAAATTTACTGTCTACTAAGGTATCATCTAACATCTTTTTTTTTTCTCGCTTAGCTATCCGACAAAACACGAGACAGGTAACATTCTGAACTCGCTTGGATAGGCGATGAGGCACGCGGACGTGGCTGTCAACCCTAGCCGCGGGCCTAGGGCCTAGGGCCTAGGGCCTTAGGGGTCACGAGGAATCGGATTATATTATCTAAGCAGGTTGAGCGGAGGATATCTCAAAGTAGTGCTTACATGTACGTCCTGACTACTTACATATACGTACATGTCACGCCGTATATTATTTGACGAATGTGAGATACGTATTACTCTTTGCTACACACGCACTTATACTTACTCTTAGAATGCTAACCAGGTTAAAGAATAGGTGGTGTATAGACTTATTTCAATTTATAGATGTAATGATAAATATGAGGCATTATTTATATCATTGACGTAAGAGTATAGGTTAACCAGGTAAGCATACACATGGGTTAAGGGCTTATAAAATAGGAACGATTTTAATGACAACCTTGAATAGTCTTATATTAATAGTTATATGAGAATACCACCTAACCTAGCTGATTGTCATAAGCATAATAAAGTTGAATGCAAGTCTTTTATAAATGACCGAAATGTATATTAAGAGCCAACCTTAATATTTCCAATTGAGCTCTTGAATGCCGTCAATTTTAAATTAGAATCACGGTCATATTATTGACTTGTCAATCGAAAGTCTATACGGGCATCTTAATCTGATTAGATACACCCGTTCCTTGTATATGGAGACGTGGGTCTTCTCTTTGATTACACTTAATGTGATAGGTCCTTTACATCACTTATACCCTAAATACGGGCTGCTACAGCTTAATCTCATTCCATATTAGCCAAAATAACTACAATTACTCGGGAAATTATTTGTTTCCGTAATTATGTTAGGTACGTAGCAATGCACTTGACATATATTCGGTAATATGTATAAGCAATAGTGCATAGTCAATGATACTATTTAGATACAGACTATCACCCCGTTCCCCTTAGAGATTTACATTTCAAGACAATATATTGACTTGACACTAAAGATGAGTAATAGTCCGTGCTGCACTCGTATTTGCCATTTATTATTCTACTATTATCCAGCCATTTATCCATTATTCTTTAACATTAACAACACTCGAGTCTATGGAAAGGAGTTCTCCAAAGATAGCATAGGTATGCGCGAGCATAGAAGCCGTACAAAGTTTATCTATAAGACGATCAAGGGCGCTCTCTTTTGATACCAACTCTAACATAAATACACCGTGTTTTATTTATCAGTGAGATTGATTTTTTCCATTTTTAACTCTCTTTGCAAATTACCTGATCTATCCAGTTCTCTTCGGTAAAGGCAGCCCTTAGTGCATTGCATTGCTTACAACGGGTAGTTAAATCTTACCCTCCGTAAAACTACCCATTTTCTTAGAATAATCAAGGATTACAGGTGAAACTATGTCATCTACAGGTCGCTATCCGAATAGCTCATTCTCTTGAGCACTCCACCTCCAAATAAGTATACCTAGAGCTAGCCCCCTACCCCGATAATATTATCACCTTCAAAATCTAACCGAGGAGAACTCCAGGGAATATTCTCCCACGTAGAAATCCAGCAAATGTAGCGTCTTTAGCATAGCATGCGTCAGTAGGCTTCGTCCCAAATTTAAAAGTTGGAATAGTTCTCGACTTAAATGCTGACTTACGCTCGCCTCCTATTTGGGTCAGGTTAGTCAAAATGTAAGCCTCATATTTTAACTACCTAATATGCCACATTACTGCCGCGTATTTCATTATCCTAGCAATTCAATACTACAATGCAATGCTCTTCCTTTATTACTAGTCAACCCTTTTTAGTAATTATACCGAGCCTCATGAACTTTATAATAGAGCCTAGCTATTTGCCTAGTAAACATCTGAGCGCCTCGAGGATTAACCTGAACCACTACACTGCTAGTAAGAGCTGTTAGATGCAAGTTTATATATATTAATAACCGTACCTATAGGAGTAAAAACGGGGTTGCCGGGTCGCGAGCACTGAGCTTCCACTTGCGCACTGTTAGTTTTTCTCGGGTAGCGGTCGTCGATACCTCTAAACCGTCTTTTACACTTTTCCTTCTCTATCGACGGTATATAACATCGCGGTTTTTATGAACATCATATAAAAATAGTCTTATAAATAAATATACATAGGCACCTATAGGTGGACTTCATCGGAATAAGCCTGGTACCTAACAATTCTACACTTCGCGCCCTATGTGCCGCAGTGCTCTGTTTAAATATACTATCTTAGTTATGCAAGGGATTCGTTATCCCTTTCCGCTTCGCAGATCCAAAACTACAAAGTTACTAAGGTAGGCAATGAATTAGTAGTCACTTAGCATCTTGCAGTATATAAAAGCGGATAGACCACGGAATTCTATTAATATTGATATAGAAGTGTGATGCGGTTCTGTACTTAGGTGGCTAAGTCATATAGTTAGACTCATAATTATAAAAATAGGTTTACCCCTATGATTCTCGAGAATCCTCTTTTTTAAACCACCTCGTTTGTAACAGACTCCCCCCAGGCAAATGCAGCGCCATTCCGCCCCGGCCAATGCGTAAGGTCCTTGAACTACCTGCCCATGCCAACACTTTTGAAGCATAAGATACGGGATGCTCAGGAGCACCTAGTAAACCAGTAAATGACAGCCTCCATCTATGCCCGCTCGTCCTGAAAGCCCCCCTTCTAAAAGCCGGGTACTGAACCACCGTGATCATGATCGCTGGTATCAAACATGAATAGATCCCATAAATACGCCGATCCGCTAGCGCCGGGAGAGCCCTCAGTCCGTACTAGTATCAACCCACCACGATATCGTAAAGGGAATAGCTCATATTGAGCGTGCCGCGGCCGGCTCCGGGGGTTTTTGTGCATAAACGCAATGGAATGGGATGTAAAGGTGCGCCCTAGAGCGTAGCACCGCTTTTCGTACGCTCACTAGGTAAACTTCAACCTCCTCTGGCGTCCAGTTATAACCGTGGGTAAAAGGCCTGATGGCAAAGCCATGCAGGCCGTCGTACATCATGTTCCGGCTATATAGGCCGATTTTTGACTGCTGTGGATCTTTAGGCCACGTTCCCAGCGGGGCTTTCAGAATCGTCCTTTGGATATTGATGAAGCCCGCGTCCCTCAACCGCTGTTCGTACTTCTCCAATGCGGTAATACAGTCGACGCCAAGAATACTCATCGCTCCCACGATTTTGCTAAGGAACTCTGCGATAAGATCGTCCTCGCGCATTGTGTCGTCGTCGCATTCGACGCAGCATTTCAGATCTTGTAACTCGAACCAGCCGCCCGGCTTCAATGCCCTGCACCCTGTGGGTCAACGATCTTGCGGTGAGCAAAAAAAAAAAAAAAAAAAAAACGTGTCGCTGTGTGAATATCTTACTTGAACGCCTCTGTCATAAGTGCGGGCCAGTCCCGAATCGTCGATGCCATTTGGCGAGCGTGAATATAATCCAATGAATTTGCCGGCTGAAGCCACTCTTCCTCTACGTTGTCCACGAGGAATTGGACATTACGGGGCACCCACAAAGGTTGTATGGGGCTCAGATCTATCCCTAATATTTCTGCGTCTGGATACTCATCGCCCACTAGTTATGTTCGAAAGCGAACTTGTTAGTACTGAATTAGGTCGCGTAACTTGTAATTCACTTTTGGCTGAAGTGCGTACTTACTCTCTATCGCCCAGATGCCCGTCCCTGTACCAATATCAAGTACTGAGCGCGGGTTGTTAAGAGGCGCAAAGTGTAGTTTGCTATCGCATAGAAGCATGAACATTGCATGTTGCATATCCTCGCGCTCCTGCTCAGCATCGTCGTTGGGGAAGTGGTAACGGCCTTCTTGATATTTGTGATAGCGCCGTGAGTTCTCATAGACATAATCGCGAACTTCATCGGACATGGATATGGAGTCGGCAGAAAGTGAAAGAGTATCGAAAACATCTTCGTCCGTCGACACCGATAGGATCGAGTCGGCGTCGATTTGGGGCTGTTCTTGGTCTCTGCTCATCGTAGGCGTAGGCGATAGTTAACTCATCAGGAAGATATTTACGTTCGGTTGATGGTTTTATGGTCTTATGGTTTTATGGTTTTATGATTGGTCTAGTTGGGCTTAAGACAAGGTTGCATTTTCGTAAAGGAGCACCATTAAACAAGAGGCTCTCCCTTCTTTCTATACGTAGACTACGTAGATCGGGGGGACTGCGGGAAGTATCTATGGTAGGGTTTTGGTGATCAATGATGGCAACGGATTGGTTCCAGCACTACGGAGAAAAGCCCCGCCAAGATGGCGACCAATATCGAGACGATGGACTATTGGCTATGGATGGAAGGGATCCCCGCTTGCTTGCAGATGGAGGGTGTCAAGACTTTCAATGAGATGCAAGCCGACCTTACCAAAAGTGAGGTGATGAACGCAACTTGGGGTCCCAAGAATCGACCCAAGCATGACCCATTGCGACCCAGCAATTTGGAACTGAGCGCAAGCGGCGCCTTTCTGTCGGTGAGAGACCAAAACCGGACCTCGGTTTGTACCCTAAAGGGATAAGGACAAAACCTAGGAGACTTCCTTGCTTCTGTGCTTCCATACATATGTATTCCCATGTTCCCATGTTTCCACGCTTCCGTAGAAGTAAGGAAGCTGATAGGTCAAAAAGATTCAACGCGTGAGATGTGAATAATAATAATGGGGAAATATATCAAACTTTACTGGAGCTGCGTTTCACATGAATCCCGGTTCTACGGTACACATGTTGTACGATGGGAAAGAAAAAGAAAAAAAAGTCTTGGTTTCATACGCCTTGGGTCAGGTCTAGGAGGTCAGCTTTGGTGTACGTACCTCCCTAGAATACCCGGCTGCCCGGATAGACTTTTTAGTGGACTTATGGGCCTCAATACATATGTACCTAAGGAAAAGGCTAGGCAAGTCACCACTTAGAGCATTTAGACTACCTTGGACAAAAGGCAGTACTTACCGACCTGCCTGAAATAGATATCCATACTATGTCGAAACGCATGAATAATTAAGGTAATTAAGCATTGAGCATTAAAGCATTAAGATAAAAAGACGTGACTATGATATGATTGCTAAAAAAATGATTTGATTAGGGGTATCCTCGGTAACTAATATCGGCGTTTTTTTGTATGTATGTACATATGTACCTCTGACCCAGCTGACCCGTCCGTATGGTAAAGACCTTATGCTGTGTTACCGTGTGGCGTGACCGAATTGGAACGCTTGCTTGGGACGGTACCATGCATTTAGGTTCCGGAACGGCGGGAGCGCTTTAACGCGCTTTATGATAGGTACCTACCTATGTAGGTAGTATAATCATTTTTTAATTTGATAATCAACCTACAGTAGGTAATGCTACCCTCCCTTATGTAAGTCATTCTTAAAACAAAACAAATAAGAACAAGACACACACAAAAAAGATAAGTACCTACATATTCTATCGACCCATTTCTATGGAAACAAATTGATAGTTTGTAACAAGGTAATGTTAGAAGTGCGCACGGCTCATTATAATGCTCTCGTGCCTATGTAAGTACCTAAGTTAGTTATAGCTATTAATAGCTGAGCTAGGCAAGCTGACAGGCTTGTAAGTTATCATAGGTCATAACAGCTCTTCCCCTTTGCCTTAATACATAGAACCCAGTTCTTTCAAGCAAGAGTTTCGTCAACAGAAACATGGGATACCGGAGAAGACGATATGCATGCCGCTTACATACATCCCACAAATGCTGTTGTTACTCCTGAATACCACACCCCGACCAGCGACAACCAAACTATCGGGTCCAGAAGAGCCCAGACGGCAATACGCAGACCGCTATCTTCCCGCTTATACATCTTTTGCGATCCCTCAGCCAATGGTCGTGTCAGGCAAACGAGATTAAATGATAATTGGCTGCGAGGGCTGACTTGCAGATTAGCCGTCTCAGCCCCCATGTTGCAGTTTTTAATGACGACTGACGAAAATACTACATCACCGCGGGATGTAGTAGCTTGAATTCTTGAATTATTGGATCCGTGGAGGACGGCTACTACCCTACTTGCGTGGTGGTTGCAAACCATAGACATTGTATCTTTGAATATATCATTCCCTATGGAGACTCCTAAATCGCGAAGCGATCGAGGACGGAACAAAACTATAAAAATCTACAGCTTCAACATCCAAATCTGCGTTTGCGCGTTGCAATAGACAGTGCTCGTAGATATGCCTCCACGTAGCTGTCGATGAACGCAGTCTGTTATGCCACGTCAAACCCCCTTTCCATCACCGCCCTCGCTGTCACGATAATTACGAGTTGATCGACCTTCCTACTATAAGTCGACCTATTAAGAAGCACATTAAGTTGGTGGAGCGGCGGTAGCGGCGGTAGTCGCCTGCAAGTAATAAGAACACCTATACAGAAGCTATTATCATTCATTAGCTAGGTCAGACCGCCTACTTAAAGGCACCAACATTCGAGTGCAGATATTGCATTGGATTGGTGCGTCGTCTATCTCCGGAATTACTGCTGTGGTCCTCTAGGCAGCAATTGGAAACTACAACGTCAGTATTTACAAAGCTAGTTATACCAATTATACGTCGATATCTTGTATTCTCGACGCTGGTACCCTAAGTACTCTTATCGAGCAGCTAGGTAGTCAGAATTCTGGATGAGACATTTAGAACAAAGGATACTTTCAGTATGTATACAACGAAGTTGTTTCCTTGCTTCTTGCTCCACCTCGTAACGCAGCCTAATTACCATGAAGTCCGGCTTAGCCTCGCTAAGCTAATAACTATGTGGAAATTTCTCCTCTCAGCTCCATATCTAATAATTTGTCTAGGAATACGGCGACTTGGGAGGACAACATAATAATACCTAAGACGACAAAATTCTAAGGATACTACTGAAACTAATTTAGGGGCTTCAGCGTCCTAGCCTCGCACGTATATTCCATATATACGGCCAAGCAAACGACCCCGAAATCCGAGTTTCTTCGATACAACACGATGAGAACTAGGCATCTATCTGGCCGTGAAAGAAACGCCGACTGAACAGGGGCATTCCGCGCCAACGCGTAGAACAGCTGAGTACCTACCTAAAGCAACTAGCACCTAGAATCCCGGCTGCTCCCCGCTTCTCGGAAACGATCACACGTGGCCTACGCAACCAGAGTCGGAAGAGCTCCGCTCCTATGGCCACGCTATCGAGATGTGCGATGTCCAATATACTCGCCTGACCAACTCACCGCTCTTCGCGGCTTCTGATATTCGACCAAGAATAAGTGAATATCGAGTCGGGGAATGTAATGGGTAGTAAGGCCCTATATTACTACAAACATCGAGCCCCATGAACTCCACCCGTACATACAGATATTGATAGATACCATACCCTCGACAACCGGCAAATGCTAACGCGGGACATGCCTCCTTGTCCTCCTTCGGCTATAACTCATGCTAACTTGTTCTAATATATGGATCCCTCCACCTTCACTAATCGTAGCCACCTCTCCCTAGGACGTTGTTAATGCACCTTTCTACGAAGATTGGGACTTGTCTAATCTAAGCTATAACCTCATTGTATCGCGTCTTGCCTAACAGAAGTCTATCATCATGGTAGTATATCCCATAAACTTTAATCATACAAACCGATGTCAAGCTGCCCGCGTGCTACGAGTGTCCTCTACCATTACGGTGTTATCTTCTGGTCATTGTTCGTGCCCACGGACTTCGCCACTGTCGTAGGATCCAGATGCTCTGGATCGACTGGCCGCTACGGTAATACGTTTTGGAGCCGGTTTTGCTTGCACAAGCGTTGCAACAGGAATTATCAGTGAATTTTGTACCGCGGTCTCGTCATCCTGGAAGCCCTCTCTGGGGGCTTTATGCTGTATCATATGCACCTCCTCAGCCAGGCGGGCGCTCAGGGGCGGTCTCATATTATCCATACTCAGGCTGGCTAATTGACTTTCTGCAGTCGCAGACCCGCGCTTCATTGTATCGATTTGTTGTTCGAGTGCCTGTAAGTCTTCATAACCCCCCTGTATCGGGAGAATTTCAAGCTCGGGGTATTCCAGGTGTCCGTCCAGCTTCTGTCGAGTATGGTATGTTTCCGAGGAAGCCCGATTTATAGTGCCTTGAACGACCCTGCTTAAACCTCCTTTCATAGCTCTACCAAGCTGAGCGGATAAACTTCGTGTAGGGGCAATGTGCCTCTTTGATGACTCGCCAGGTTTATCTGTAGACCACGTTGTACCACTATCATTTGATTCTACTCGAACTGCGAAATCCCTCGGGGTCACATTATCTTCTTCCCCTGCTGGCCCCGTTCTTTGTTGGCGTGTATGTGAGGGCCATTTTGCCCATGATGCAGGAGGTGTCCGTAATCTCCAAAGAGCATGGCTCTGCGGCTCCGTTTTCGGTTCGTCCTGGGGCTTCAAATCTTGATCATTCATCAAGTTCACCCATTCTCTAAGGACGGTACCAGATATATCTGATTGTCGACTACTATTATTTTCGTGGCGAGATAGCGGTTTAAGTGTCGAACCTTGTTCTTTTCTTGGCTTCGGGTGTAGTATATGATCAATATGACTGGTTTTGTGATAACTTAGAGACTCTGAAGAGTTCACCTCTTGCCGTCGAATTCTGGGGATGTATCCATCAAGTACAGCAGTCTGTTGCCGCGGGTCCACAGAGTTTGCAACATCCTCAGATTCCCATCCTAGAGACGAAGTCACTTGCTTTCCGTTGATGATACTTGTACTTACTTTATGTTGGCCAAGGCGAGCACCTTCGGCGTCTAGATTCGTTTCACTCCTACACTTGGTGTCGCGTACACTATACCGTCGTATATCTTGAGTTGGATATTTCGCTATTCTGGGAATCTGTAAGTGAAACTTAGCTAGTATGGAGTTCTTGGAAATTATCGAAGTTCTGGTTCTGGGTTCGCTAAATTCCTCTCGGAACTTGCTGACCATCGGAGCGGTGATATCACGGCGGGGATGAGTTCGTCCAAATCGCTTTTCAATCGATTTGAGCTCAGTCTCTCGTTGTCTAAAACTTGCCGTATCTGAGACAGCTGCCGAGTTTGTTTCCGCCGTAGGACGCTGTAGCTGTCTGGTTCCTTGCATAGTCACGTCTAACGCTGAGGCGTTGTTAGGAGCAGTCTTGTATGAGCTGACGTCTGACTTCTCAGCATCTGTCGTACGACTAGACGATATGAACCCTAAGTATTAATGTTAGACACCATGGCGATACTTCATACAGCAGAAAAACGCACGATTGAATCCTAAGAATGGAGCCACCGTCTTCCGACCTCCCAGAAACTCCATCAAGCTCGGACGCGACTCTTTTGCCGCTGTCTGGCAACTGTTGGGTTTGGTGGTGTACTGTGAAGATGCGTAGAAAGATGAAGAGGCTTCTTGAGTCTGGTCAGTTGGCTTCGAACCTTGACCATCAAAAGTATCGCTAGGTGTCCTCATAGACCGTTGCAACTTGCTAGGCCAGTTACTTAGTATCTCAACCGGTTCGACTATTATATCCGCACTTGAGTTGCGTGGCCGTACTCCTAGAGGACTATACCGAATTCCAGATACTTCATCTAAGGCGTTTTGAGGGCCACTGACACCAGAGCTCTCTGGAACGGTCCGCTGTACCATATCACTCGTCTTTCTACTCGGCGTAGCTGACGCCGATTGCAACTCTTGGCTCCGTAACCATATATCTAATGGCGAATCTTGGTTAAAGCTTGTGTCTTCAGGACCTCCACTGTATTGACTTTCAGAATTCTCCGTGTCGCTTTGGATATATTGCTGACTTTCATCAGGGGCCAATTTGTCGTGAACTATATCCTCATCTGGTTCTTCGTTCGTCGTGGGCCCTTGGATACGTAACAAATCGTCTTCAACTTGGTTTATACGTTCATCTTCTCCATCAATTATACCGCGTCGAGTGTTAATTTCAGCGAGTTCATAGGATTCGTCAGGGTTAACCGCCTCGGGTACCCCAATGTACCTCGCGAGTTGCTCGGCGCTGTAGGAAAGTCGCCATGAACAGAGGGATTCCGAGCCTCTAGCACTCGGTATGTGAACGGGAGTTAACTGGGGAGAAGAGGGAAATCGCGGTAAGGAGCTGCGTGCCTTCACGGCTCCACGACACTCTAGACTAGCGTCCTCATGAGCTCGAGAAGCTGAACCGGAACCGGGATAGCTACACCGGCGAAGGGAAATTCCTGGCTGAGAATGGCTGGCTGGGAGAGCAAGGAGCACAACATCCGGAGAGCCATAGGCATTATCCTGAGGACTGGTTTCGCTCACATCTAAGACACAAAATTCTATATTATCGCGCGGCCCACCACGAGGAAATCCGACGTTAGCGGTGCTGCACGGCTTCGATTCTTCGGTATTTCCCGTTTTCGTTTCGACCTCTTCTTGTTCTTTTTCACTTTTCAACTCCTCCTGGATTCTCTTCCGCATTAGTCGCTTCAGCTCAGCCCGCCGTGCGATCTCCTCGTCGCTTGTACCAAGAGATTGTTGCGAATGTCTTTTAGATTCGGACTTCTGAGACAAGCGTCTAATAAACTTGGTTCTAATAGCTCCTAGAGTACCCGTGCTAGAGTTTCTGGTACTCCGTACCAGTTCATCATCATCATCATCCGAATCTTCGATATCGATAATAGTGGGATCTACCGTGGCCTCCTGTATTTGGTTATGTGAAAGCGATGGTGTCCCCCCACCTACGATCTCTGTTGGCGGTAGCTCAAATCCAGATGTAGGAAATGATGGGCTCGATAACTTCACACGTGGAGGGCGAATTGGAAGTTCAAATACGTCTTGGCCAGTTTCTCGGCCTGCCGTTCGCTGGGTACGATAGCAACAGAAAATGGACATTCTCAATAGTGTCCAATTGGAAGTGAATGGATTTTGGTTAATATCTGTCATGGATTTCCAAGAAACACTCGGAAGCCATATAACCAAAGTTGGATAGGGGGCCAGTACCTAGCATTGAAAATGGCTTCGATACATTTGGTGTCGGACCATTCAACTTTACTTTAGATCATCTAGATACATACGAGTAATTGAGTATATGTAGCTCTTTCTACGACAGAATTTATCACCGAGAAGAAGCTACTATCTGATAGTGAATTCAAGGAAAGTGGTAGACTTATGGGAGTCCATCTATGTGGTTTCCCCTTATTGCAGCGAGATAACAACTTATGTATCTACCTAGGTATAGAGAAAGTATTCTACCGATTTGCATAATAGCTTATCCTCTCTCTTCTATTGTGTTATTTTGATCAAACACAATCTCTAATCATCCACCAGCCTACCAAGGTAAGTGCCTAATATACCTTACATGCGTATAACTACGCCTTGCTAGCAATAAGTTCTTCGTAGTTAGTTGCTAGTATATTAATACATAATACCGGTACCTGGCAAAGTTCCATTACTATTGCAAAATACTAAATCCAAATGATTTAACTTGGTGGTAACGGATTGTTGTTTTCTCTCGAATACTCAACATGCCTTGGTATTGATGCTCAACTTATACGTTCACGATATACAAAGTGCTTTATATTTACACACGCTGTCGGAAGTCGATTATAAAATTTGTGATTTCTACTCGTAATCTTGCAACTAGGAATTGACGTCAAAATTCGTAACACTTCGGGACGAATTGACTTGGATTATTATCTTACATAGACTAAAATCTGACGAGAATAATACAAAATGTGGGTTTGGCCATCATTAAACTTAAGATAGACGATAGACTCAAACCTTTAATGTTAGATGTAGGTGAAATAAGATATACGCTAAGAATAGGCCGAACGTTAATCGTCTAATGCGCGGTAGAGCGAAGAAATTGACATATCGATGTTGATTTTAGCAATTGTTAGAATCCACTTAAGGACGTAGTGCTTCGATGCGGCTGCTGTTTACTTGGATAAGGTGCAGACTTATTTACCAGGTAGGTAGTAGTAAACTAATACGACTCTGATATGAAGGAATGTAACCGGGACCGATCGGGTGCGGTGCTATTGTATGCATCCAGGAGACTGGTTCGGCCGAAGCGGCATTGATTACCTAGGGTAGCATCATGGATGCGGAACAAGGGTAGCAGATTGATGCCATTGACACCTAAGATTTCTACATATTCCACCTGCGAAGGATTACTAGGCCCGCTTGGATTTGAATATGTAAGGTATCGGGTCGGGAGCCGAGTTGTGTCGTCCGGAGAAACAAATTATGGAGATTGGAGATGCAGTAGATTTGGTAGATTTAGTAGACATTTCTGTTCTGTACGGGTCGGTGAATCGATTTAGTGGCTTGCTACTTACATGTATGTAATTTGCTATTACATATGTAGGTAGAACCCCGAGTCCGCAGATGGCGGAGGACTAATGATGTATCTTGCAATTTCACGTGTCACAAAAATAAGCAGAATCTGTTAGGATGTACCTACCTTAGGTACCTAAAAGGTAGGTTATGTACCTAAGGTACACTACCTAATGCACCTGGTAGTATGTATCTTATTGTACCTGATTCTTTAACGGAAGGCGTGCTACAACTCGTCTTTACATGAGGTATTAACAGCATGACAAACAACCTTACATTGATGTAGTGATGTAGACGTTGAACCTTATCTTACTGCTTACTTAGCGATGAGGGGCACAGTGGGAAGGTGGACAAGGGGGGTTTACCAGCCTCAACCTTCCAACCTTCCAACCAAGTCAACCTAACGGATGCTAAGGAAGCGATGGGGGGGTTTATTGATGGAGTATCTGCTCCCCCGCTTTCGGACCCTGAACACATCCTATTAGAATCTTAGATAGATAGAGCTAGTGCATGTTTAGTGGCTCTTGTTTGGTTCTGTTTGGTCAGCTCATAGCACGACAGCAGAGAAAAAATTGTTAACCCCTCATCAACCAGCACCAGCACCGAACCAAGTATTCGACCCTTATTGAACCAGCAACGCTCCAGCTGTCTCTACTTCTCTACTGGTCTCTACTCTGAGCTCACATAAGAACCCCACCTTCACCGCTTACTTCTGCTTACGCCTTTTACGAATCCTTCTTCTTCCTCTTGTTCTTCCTCTTGTCATCCTTTTCTTCCTTAAATTCTTCTACTTCCTACTTCCTCTCCAGAGACTGTTGTCACACATCAATTGATCCAACCCTCTTAGCATATAGAGAGTTGGAAGTAGCAGTCTGTTCTTCTCGTGAGTCTAGACCTTACACCCCCTCTCCCACTACACTGTACTCCGGAGAAAGAACATCTCTAACATCGTCAAAGAAAGCTTCTTTTCTCCCAGATACCTCGAACCACCTTCAAGATGGTTCAATCTGCAGTTCTGGGTTTCCCCCGTATGGGTGTGAACCGTGACCTGAAGAAGGCAACTGAGGCTTGTAAGTTGCTCTGCCGGCCTTTCCAGTCGTACTGGATAATGCTGCTCAAGATTGCATTACTAACCATCTCCAAGACTGGGCTGGCAACCTCTCCCAAGCTGACCTCCTCACCGAGGCCAAGCGTCTTCGTCTTGCCCACTGGAAGATCCAGAAGGATGCCGGCGTAGACATCATCCCCAGCAACGACTTTGCTCTCTACGACCAAGTCCTCTCCCACATCCAAGACTTTGGTGTAAGTTACCAACCAAGATTTTTGACCGCTACCCGCTACACATCAGCTAATATAGAATCCCGCAGGCCGTTCCTGAGCGATACTCCAGCGCTAACCTCGACCGCGTCGATGAATACTTTGCCATGGGCCGTGGTCACCAGAAGGGTGGTGTCGATGTTCCTAGCTTAGAAATGGTCAAATGGTTTGACTCCAACTACCACTACGTCAAGCCTACCCTGCAAGACAACCAGACCTTCAAGCTCACCGCCAACCCCAAGGCCGTTGTTGAGTTCCTCGAGGCTAAGGAGGCTGGTATCAACACCCGCCCCGTACTTCTCGGTCCCGTGTCCTTCCTCCACCTAGGCAAGGCCGACCGTGGCCAGAGTGTCAACCCCATTGACCTTCTTGACAAGCTTCTACCTGTTTATGAAGAGCTCCTCACTAAGCTGAAGGAAGCCGGTGCCGAGACTGTCCAGATTGACGAGCCTGTCCTCGTCTTTGACCTGCCTGCCAAGACTAAGGCCGCTTTCAAGCCTGCCTACGAGAAGTTCGCTAGCTTGGCTGCTAAGATCCCCAGCCTGGTCTTCACCACCTACTTTGGTGACATCGTCCACAACATTGACCTCCTCCCCAAGGATGTCTACGCCGTCCACATTGACCTTGTCCGCAACCCGGAGCAGCTTGAGACCGTCCTCGGTGCTCTTGGACCTAAGACTGCTCTCTCTGTCGGTATTGTCGATGGCCGAAACATCTGGAAGACCAACTTGAAGCGTGCAATTGAAATTGCTGAGACTGCCATCCAGAAGCTTGGCAAGGACCGTGTCATCGTTGCCACTTCCAGCTCTCTCCTCCACACTCCCCACACGCTCGCCAGCGAGAAGAAGCTCGACCCTGAAATTGCCGACTGGTTCTCTTTCGCCTCTGAGAAGGCCGTTGAGATTGCCATCATTGCTAAGGCCGTTACCGAGGGACCTGCCTCTGTTCGAGAAGCTCTTGAGGCTAACGCCAAGTCTTTGAAGGCTCGCGCTACTTCAAAGCGAACGAACAACCCTCAAGTCAAGGAGAGGCAATCCAAGATTGCCCCCTCGGACTACAACCGAAAGTCTGAGTTCCCATCCCGAATTTCGCAGCAGCAGAAGAAGCTCAACCTCCCTCTCTTCCCCACTACAACCATCGGTTCTTTCCCCCAGACCAAGGAAATCAGAGTGCAACGAAACAAGTTCACCAAGGGAGAGATCACGGAAGCTCAATATGACAAGTTCATTGAGCAGGAAATTGACTCCAACGTCAAGATCCAGGACGAGCTCGACCTAGATGTCTACGTCCATGGTGAGCCTGAGCGAAACGACATGGTTCAGTACTTCGGTGAGCGTTTGGACGGCTATGCCTTCACCACGCACGCTTGGGTCCAGAGCTACGGTTCTCGATGCGTGAGACCTCCTATTATCGTCGGTGATATCTCTCGCCCGGCTCCCATGACTGTCAAGGAGTCCAAGTACGCCGTGTCTGTCTCCAAGAAGCCCATGAAGGGCATGTTGACCGGCCCTGTTACCTGCTTGAGATGGTCTTTCCCTCGTGATGACGTTCACCAGTCCGTCCAGGCTGAGCAGCTTGCTCTAGCCCTCCGTGACGAGGTTGTTGACCTCGAGAAGGCTGGCATTGATGTCATCCAGGTTGACGAGCCCGCTCTTCGTGAGGGTCTACCTCTCCGATCCGGCAAGGAGCGCCAGGCTTACCTTGACTGGGCCGTCAAGGCCTTCAGGCTTTCTACCGTCGGTGTCGAGGATTCGACTCAGATCCACTCGCACTTCTGCTACTCTGAGTTCCAAGACTTCTTCCACGCCATCGCCGCCCTTGACGCTGACGTGCTGTCTATTGAAAACAGCAAGTCCGACTCGAAGCTTTTGAGTGTTTTTGTCGACGAGGCTTACCCTCGTCACATTGGTCCCGGTGTCTACGACATCCACTCCCCGCGTGTTCCTAGCGAGCAGGAGATCAAGGTCCGCATCGAAGAGATGCTTCAGTACCTTAAGCCTGAGCAGCTCTGGATCAACCCCGACTGTGGTCTTAAGACCCGTCAGTGGAAGGAGACTAAGGAGGCGTTGGTCAACATGGTCAACGCAGCCAAGTTCTTCCGTGCCAAGTATGCCAAATAATTGTCTCCCGTATGAGGAGGCCGGCATTTCATTTTTACGAAAATTTGACGATAATTGCATGAAGATGTGGGGAGTTGCCTGCTAAAAAATTTCCATTGGGAACTGCATAATCGATTT